ATCCATACGCAAATCCTAAATCTCATTAAAAAAGCTTTAACTTATGGTTTGTTTGTTGCATAATGTATTTTTTAAAACTTTGTCTGACTTAATTTTGTCTATTGTGTAATGCAATACTTTGAGCATGTTATATTACTCACACAAAATTCAATTTAATTTGATCAATCAACGTTACAAAATTTCCTCATACAACAAATAAATTTTCTCCGATGACTGCATTTCTTCCTATCCCTCTATGCATATTTTCTCCCTATACTCTATTTGATATAAGCTTATGCTGTTCAAAATATATATATATAAGCTTATGCATGTTAAATTTGTGTATGTATTATATATACATAAATGCATATAATGCATGTCTAAGGAAAGGTTCAAGGAGGAATGATATAATACAAAATGAAAGCAATAATCAAAATATCGTTTCGGTGCATTGTTTCGGTCATCTAAGAAACGGAAATGTTTCAACGTGTTTCAGAAACGTTTCAATTCGTTTCAGAAAAATATGAAGAACATAAAAAAAATTTAAGAATTATTTTTTTTAAATATTGATCAATATATATTAAAATATCTTAAAATATTTCAAAAAAATTGTGCAAATGTATTGAAACATTATAAAATACCTTTAAACATTACGAAACACCTCAAACTATTATAATTTCTATTCTATCACTAATTCATTTCAGTCTCCTTGAAAACAGAAATATTTCGACTGTTTCGGAAAAAAAATTTGATCCTTAAAAGAAAGCTAGGTTCACTAGTTAGTTATAAGAAACCTCAAGGAACCTGCATAATTTTTTTTTTCCCAAGCAAAAATTCAACCTATCTGTTTGCTACTTATTCTTGGGATGTGTCCCACATCAACATGTCAATGAATGTTTTAGATAAGTTACATCTACAAAAGCACTTGTAAGGATTTCCTAATGATGGTCTGTTTGGTAAACTATTCCAAGATAGATCAATATATGGTCAGGGGTAAATCTACAGTGGGGCAATGGGGGCAGCTGCCCCCAATGTAATTTTTAAAATATGTAGGTATATATAAAATTTCAAATAAGACATTGTCTCAAGTGAAATATTATAAAAGTTCATGGATAAATTTGTATTTTATAAACAAGTGTGGCATCAATTGTCTTTGACAGACTTTTAGCCGTGGCCCAAAATGTCCGCCTGATAACATTTTGGGGTTTTCTATAAAAACAATAGAAAATTATGGAGTGATCCTACTTACCAAAAAAAAATATGAAGTGATCTTGACCATTCATATGCTTGACTTTTAAGATCTAATAATTTTAAATGAAACAAAAATTTGATTAATTATAAACAAATTTGAATAAACAGTCAGATTAGGGGATATGCCAACACGATTTAATTTGGATCACATTTAATTTCTTTTTTTTTCGAGGACGATAAAATATGTTTTATTTTGATAAATATGAGAAGCTATTTTTTGGAATTTTACGGTTGATCTTGAATTAAAATAATTGATTTTTAATATTTAAGATTGATTTCAAGTATCTCAAAAATTATAATTTGATTCTAAAAAATTATATCTTTAATCCTAAAGTTGTAACATGACTCATAAAAATTATAATTTTTTAGAATTTATTTATTTTTATTTTTTATAAAAAAATTCAAAAGTTTATATAACAACTCACAAGACTTATAAACTCAACCGTCGTAGCCCTTTTGATATCAAAATTGAATTCCAACTCTAAATATCATTCATAAATATGATATAAAATTAACAAATAATTAAGTTGCCCCTACAACTAAAAAAGTTTGACCCCGCTCCATGGTATCGAGAGATAATGTTTTTTTGACGAATGTGTAGAGGAACCTATCTTTACATTCATTTGATGTGCTAGAAAGAGAAAACCATTTAATAAGAATTAGCTAGAAGCAATTCAATCTCTACATCCATTAAAGTTGACATGCTATCTGTAACAGAGCTCTGGAAAAAATGGGGAAAAAAGAAAGGTGATAACGCCCAGAAAGAAAGTGGCTTCCCAGTTCAAAGTCACATCTAGAACTCTCTCTCTCTCTCTCTCTCTCTCTCTCTCTCTCTCTCTCTCTCTCTCACAGTCAGTCAGGTGAAACTGTTTCTTGGGTTATACTCTACATATATATGCCTGCGTATGCTTTACTTCTCCTTTTTTTGGCCCAACATAATCTTCCCCCGACATTGAAACTGAAAGAGTTTTTGATTCTTTCTACTGTGAAAACCGTTCTCCCCGCAACACTCCAACTTCTCAACGTGCCCCTTTACCAAAAGTGTCCCACTAGGCAATGCCCAAACTCTAGCAACCAAATCTTTTTCCCTTCTTTTTTTTTTCTGGTTTTTAGAAATAACATACGGATAACCGCGTAAATCAAGCGTTTTTTAAGACTTAATTATGACAATTGCCGGACTCTGAATGCCCAATATCACCCACAAATCATGTGCATCGAAAGCATTAAAATTGTTTCCTCGAGAAAATAGTTATTGATTGTTAATGGAGAATCGAGATTAATTAACTTAGAGTTTTTTTGCCGTCATATATTCAGTTTGCCAAGGTGATGAACGAAAATGCAAAATTCTAGAAGCCCTCTGGGTGAATTAACAAGCTACTAAAAACTAGTGGGTAGTGTTTGTTTTGCTTAAGGGGAAGCTGATTAAGAAACATGCTTTATAGCTAGTAATTGCTTGGAAGGGAAAAGAGAGATGCATGCTCCATGAATTAAGGAATCTTCTAAGACTAAGCATATGGACATGACACGCTACAATGGTAACCCAAGTGCCCGACCCAAAGACACTAGGCCTATTAAGTGGTGCAAGTGCCACTATTTATCAATTAATACTAAACACTGTCCCATGATTCAGCTCGAAAGTTTACGTTCACAAGCAGAGCACATCAACACAAGTTCACTGTACAAGTGCTCTTGTTTCCAAATCAAAATTGATTTCCAAACTATAACGAGTGCAGATTTTCGACCTTTGGTCTCCCTTCCGATACCAAATATTGCCCCAACCTACGGCTCCTTGGACTTTGCATGTATTGGTAAGAGACCTATTGGTGAGGAGCATTATGATATCTCAAGTCTTACTTAAAAGGGACCTAGAGACCACATCACTAGCCCCATCACCTTACTTTGTAAGAGCCGAAGAACCTAACACATCTCAACCAACTTCCAATCAGCATTCCTTGGAAGAAAATCCAACATTGAAGAGATTGGATTGGATCTGCTATCCATCCAACAGTTGTAGTAGATTAAGTTACTAATTAGGTCCGTGTAACATTATTCACCTGACTTATTCTTACGAATTATAAATGGTCGGTTGGATAATATTAAGAAGATTAATTAAACGGGTTAATTTGGGTCCGATTCAACTATTCAAGGAGTTGAACCTATATAATAATCATCTTGAACCACCACCACAACAGCCTTTGTCGCCACAAATTACAACACTCACCACCGCCTCTGCTGTCGTCTCCACTAACACCACCACCACCACTTCGATATTCAGAATCAAACTCGGATCTATAATAATATTTGTCTAGTTTAAATTTCTAACCAAACTTTGGCTTCTACTGAAGCATCTATTGCCTACACAACCGGCGAAGTTGACTGCTATGGCAGTTGCTACTTTTACCCTGGGTGAAAATCAGCTTAGGATGAATCATGAAAAGATAGTTGACTCCTACTACGTACGTGCACCATTTCAATTCTCATCATATAATCCTTAGGTAATTATACACACCAACAATTTAACGAGTACATACATTGAGTCTACAGAAATAACAGAATGGGTTCATTTACTTCCAGACGTAGAGGTGTACCCATTTGGGGGAGGCTTGGCTGCTAGCTTTCTTTGCACTCTTTTGCAACTAGGGTTGTTTTTGGCAAAGCTTCACCTCATATGTAAGGCAAGAGTGTCTTCCTGAAAAGTTATTACTCGATATCGTATCAAAAGTTATTATATAATAACAATGAGATTACGGGTTATTCTAGTAAAGTTAGAATAAAAATGAAATTGTTCAATTTTAATGTGTCTTAAAATTGATCTTAACATCTCTGGAATCGATCGCAAGTTTTTTTTTATTTTTTGGAGATAAATTGATCCTATTGAGTCATAACTAAACTTTTTTGAGTCGTTAATAAGAACTCAAATCAATTATTATTAGCATAAATTTACTTGTAACTTTCGGTATGTATGCTACCGACTTCGATAGTCCAGTCTCAATGACCAAAAATTAAGATTAAATAATATTTAATGCCATAGTAAATAAAGTTTGAAATGTTGCTACTATCTAAACTTCACTGAAATGTTGAGCATAATTTTACATTTTGCTCACGAATCAAATACACACAAAGCGCACACAATTTTTGACAAGCAAAGAACAAGTTACATAGCATTCTTAATATCAAGCGCAAAACAATGTCAAATGTAGCAAATTCGACTGCAAACAATTTTATCCAACTAACGTCTTTTGTATAAAACGTCGTTCTAACTTACGTTTTTAAAAGTGTCTGAATTAACAAATATTTTAAAAACAACCTTCTTTTTAGTATATTTTTTAAAGGAAGGCCTCTAATGGGACGCATCTCTTCCTATCCCTATTGAGTGCCTTTCTTCCAGGCCAAAAGGGATAGCTGGATTGAAAACCTAGCTCTATCTATAACTGTAAGTATAAAGCCCGTCCCTCCATTCCATCCACACGTCTGGAATGAGATGATCTAAGTTCTAAGTGCCGACCTTTCTATCCTACTCGCTAGGTTCTTAAAGCTCCAAAATTTAGGTCCAGCACAATCACTTTCAATCATGTATGTGATGTCAACTAGGACGTTTCGTGCAAGAAACACACACATTTTCACAAGCGGAAAACAATTTCTAGCATTCTTAGTGACAAAAAAATAACACACACACACACAACACAAGGTCATAGTAACCCATAAAAAAAAAAAAGAAAGAAAAAAAAAATTGCAACAATCATTGCAGTATAGAAGGTCCCCTGTGATTATCAAAGTCCTACTTGGATGTTGCTAACAGTGTTTGAGATTGCTTCTCGAAGCGGAATCCTCCGGCCTTTAGAGTCATCTGCCGACCAGACAAAGATGCCATGAAGTTGTTGCTGCTTCTTGAGCATATTGCAGGCAGTAAAGAAGCCATTTTCAGGTGATAATCCGCCATTTTCCTCACTTGTAAAGCTCACTAGGACCTTACCACCGTTGTAATTTCTACTCTGGGTCTTGAAGAAACTGATGAATTGAGCTACAGTGGTTCCCTGATCATATGCGTAGTACTGAAAATTGACGTAGTCTATGAGGCGGCCATAGCTCTTCCACAGAACCAAATAATGGGCTTGAACTTGATCATCATCGAATGGAGCTATGGAAGCAAATGAGATGACTCTATTTTTCTTGAGAATTGTTATTACTTGCCCAATACACTCGGCAAAGATTTCAGGTGTAGCACCGAAGTGCTCGTAGTCGATGTCGATTCCATCCAAGTTATACTGTTTGATGATATGCGTAAGAGAAGAAACAGCATTGGAAACCCATGAATCTATTGAGGAAGGGTGGAAAAGGACTTCGACACCTCCCGCCGTGTTCCCTCCTAAGCTCAATGCTACTTTGACATTTGAATGCTTACTTTTGATTGAAGACACCGCGGAGGGACTGAGATTTCCGAGTCCCAGAAGACATTGAATTTCCCATTAGTGGGAGAAGGAGATGAGATAGTATAATCTATGGCGAAGGAGAGAATGAAGTGGAATCAATGTGTGTGTTTATGGGTACATCAGAAAATTTGACATTTTGAAAGTTGGCTCCTATATATTCTCGAAAGAGGGTCGTTGGGGCGGCTTGGGTTGTTGCATGGGAGAAGATGAGAACTTGAAGAATGAAAACAGAGAAAAAAGGCCAAGAGAATTCCATGATGATTGAAGAATATCTGTATGTTGTAGTCTGTGAGAGAAATGGGAGTCGCTTCATGCCATTATATACTACAATGGGTATGCAGGCGAGGGCCATGAGGGAATCAAAAGTTATAGTTAGATTTACATGAATTGAAGGCAGTTTGTGATAGAGAGACTTGGTCTACAATGAAGAACATTCAGAAAACTGTCATGGACATGATGTTTTTGTATAAGAAGGCAAATATGTATGTACCAAACATAAGAGGCATCAGCCGCATCACTGCAAGAATCCAAACAGTCTCTTTGATACGGGGAGGATGTGGAGAGTAAGAGACGGCAGTGTTGGAGCTATTGATCAATGCCATGCAATGGTGTGGTTCTGATTAATTTTGCCTTTGATGATCATACTTTAGTTCATGGTTGGAACTGCTGGACCTGACTAGATGCTTCTATGTAAATGGTCAACCCAACACACAGTTTTCACTCATTACAACATCTAGGCAGAAGCAGGTGTACGTAATTTATCTTTGTATGTAGAGAGGTTGTTTTTTTGACTTAAGCCATGACATGTAAATTGATACAAAATATGATATGGTACAAGGGTTCTGGAGATCTTGTCAACATCTATGCATTCACCTCATTTCTTTGGTGGTGGGTAACTTGAGAGTTGCAGTATAGTCATACTAATTAGACAAAAATTATATTTACTCAACAGCCGAGCC